TTTTACTATTTAGATCATGAATTAACCGGATTTTTTGGCATGATACTATACCCTAACCTCTAATGGGTAAACCCCAGCCCCTAATTTTCTAACCCAAATCATGAGTTCGTTTAATCTTAAAAAATAAATCAACAATAATATCGACGAATCAGAACCGTTAATTTCAATAATTTCGACGTATCAGGCCCGTTGAGATTACCACACTATAAACTATACCGTATGGTAATATGTGGTCACGAAATGTATTTTTATGGATGCGATGTTTTACTATGGCTGTAGAGGGTTGTAAATAGATTTATATTGTTTTAAGTGGTTGTACCTTCTCATACGTATTCTATGGTAATGATGATTAATTTGTGGTCATTCGATTATCATGTTCTACTATGATGGTGTTAGATTTATAATTTTATGTAGTGTGTTTTACTACCATGTGGTATTTGTATGATAGTTGGATTTATAATTTTATTTTAGCATGTTATACTATATGGTATTGTATGGTAATTATATTTATAATTGCTTTAGCATACTTTACCATGTTAGTAGAAAATGGTAATCATATTCATACTTGTAATTACCCTCTTTAGAACAGAATTATTTGATGAAAAAATCATCATTCAAGTTGAGTCGGAATTAAAGCAGGGGAAGCTGAAATGGTTAGATTAATTTTTGTTGTATAAATAGAGTTAGAGTGGAGAGAGGTGATACATTTATTTCCTCATCTTTTAAAGATAGATGGGAGAGAGAAGAAATAATTTGCTTCTTCTTTTACAAAAAAAAAAGAGGGGAGAGGTGGGGTAGAAGTGGGCCGCGTCTGTCAAAAGTCAGTGTCTGCATTGAAAGGGCGTGGGTGCAATTTACCCTATTACCCTTTCGTGATTAATTTAAATAAAAGACAAAGGATGACACGTGGAGGACAGAGAAAGGGGTTACTCATAGTTACTAATGGGATCCGGACCGAGCTACCGAGCAAAGAAACAACTTTAAAAGATGGGTAAGTGGTTCGCTTTGGAAATATCCATGTAACATATATAGAGCAGAAAATGGTTGCGTACCCAGCTACATTATTTTTGGCAAGTAGGGGTGCAAATTGAGAGGGAAATGGTAGGGGTGTAAATTGTTGGGGGTGTAAATGGAAGGAAAAATTATTGTTTGCATGAAAAAATAGGGGGAAAATATGGTGAAAAGTAAATAAAATATATGTATTAAATTTATAAAAGATTATCAAAAATAATAAAAATAAAAACTTTACATAACAATTATAAATATTAAAATATAATTTGATAAAAATAATCATTAAGACAGTAATGCTTAAATAGTAATTAATTATTGATAGAACAATCTCGAAGTTCGAAGCCCAACCTATGGTCAGTACATATAGCTAGCTCATGTCTTCCATTCTAGTGTTGGTTTGTCGACATGTTGATCTCGATTTGACTAGACGAACCTTGACAAACTTGCTTTCAGAGTCGAACGGTGAATCCAAACTAGGTAGGAGTGTGCAACAATTCGATCTTGTCCGGACCGGACCAAACTCATGATAATCGCGGTACAATAACGATAGACATTTTAGAATCAATGATCGAATCATCATTACATTCGGTCCTATTTGGTTTGGTCCAAATGTCAAATCGGTCCATTTTTCTTTAGTATTTACATGATACTTCTTCTGTATACTTTTCAACTCAACTTTGAACCAAATTGACATGAGTTAACTAAACCTTTTCTCGTTCTACTATTTTCCATGACACTTCTCAATACTTTCCAACACAAATTTGAGTCCAATTTCATCAAATACATTCAACAATTTGAGCCAATTCAACAACTTGCGATTCACGACAAATTTTACTTTAATAATAATTCTAATAGTAAAAAGAATTATAAAAAATATGAATCGTGATTCAAAAGTAATTATAGTCTTTCTTACTATCTTAATAATAACCATCATCCTTGCATGTTTTTTGTTCAAAATAGAATTATTTAATTATAATAATATTAAGCCCCAATCCTTAAGGAAGATCTTAAACCTTTTCCATCCAATAAGATAAGGAGAGAGAAAAACATTAGTAATCATTAATTAACTACCTACAAGGGTAAGACTGGAATATAATAAAAATTTAATGATATTAATGAATAAAATTAAAAGGTAGAAACCCTCACTTTCAAAAATTCATTTACAAAATTCCGTACTCCTCCCAACCCTATAACAGTTTCCATCGAAGCCACCTGTGCGATCCCAGCGTCGGCTTCCCGTCACTTCTCGTCTACAATCCAGCCGTCAGCATCCTGTCGTCACGTCGCCATGTCATTGTCGGCGTCAATTCCCCTCGTCCTCACGCCGTCGATTCCATCGGTTCCTCCCGTCGTCAAGTCGCCATAACGTCGTCGATTCCTCTCGCCATCACGCTGTCGATTCCTCTCGCTGGCTTCCCGTCCTCACGACGCCATCTCGTCGTGTTCCCGTAAGCAACCTGGCCGCCGACGTCTCGACGACAAAGTGGACTATGTACCCGGCGTATGGAATCATCGAAAGCTTTTTGTGTGTACTTCGTTTGGTTATTATATATTGGCTTATCTTGTATTAAAGTGTTCCATTGAAAATGTTAATAACGTAAGGTAAAATGATAATAACGCAGGTGAAAATATAGATAATCCAGCATTTTGTTGATTCGTGGTGTGTTAATGATTAAATAGAATATAATTAATAATAACTTTATGGTTTGTTAATAACGTTGCTTTTTGTAGATTCGTGATGATGTTAATAACGTTGCTTATAATGATAATAACGAAAGTAAATATGTTAATAACGTATGTAAAAATATTTTAATAACCATTGAAAATATTAATAACGTAAGTAAATATGTTAATAATGTAGGTGAAAATATGGATAACGTAGTTTGTTGACATTATCACCTGTACAAAGCTTCAACCTCGTGGTCTATTAATAATTCGAAAAGGTATAATTAATAATAACATCATTGTTGAAATACCTTTGCATGTGGATAAGTGGACAGGTGAAAATGTTAATAACACAGGTTAAAATGATAGTGAGGTAGCTGAAAATGTTGATAATGTAAGTAAATATGTTAATAAAGTATGTTGTTGACATTATCACTGGTGCAAAGCTTCAACCTCACGGTGTGTTAATAATTTGAAATGGTATAATTATTAATGATGTCATTGTTTGTTAATAATTGACAAAGAAATACATTTGCGAGTGGATAAGTGTACATGTGAAAGTGTCAATAACAGAGAATAAAATGATAATGACGTAGATGAAAATGTTGATAACGTATTGCGTTAATTATTCAACAAGATATAGTTAATAATGACGTAGTAAAAAGGTATATCAATATTAATAAGCTCATTGTTTGTCATCAACTCTAGGTGCAACTGCTTTCTTCTTCTCCATCGTCTTACTAAGCACTACAGGCTTACACGTTGTATTATTTGTAAGCGGCATATTGTGGATCACTGCCAAAAATTATAAATTGCATATAAATATATTAATAACCTATGTTTGAACAACGGAAAATACAAAGGGTAAATGTTAATAACATAAAACGAAACATTAATAATGCAATTTCACAAAGTCACAAACAAAACCTAAAATTGATGAAAATGTATCACTTTTTTGTGTGGTTGAATACTAGTGGTAAGAAAAAAATCATGAATAACATACATGTTATTTGATAATGCGGGATGAGAAATGTACAAATATAGAACAAATCGTTACAAATATAAAAAACTTTAACCATCGTCCTTGGAAATTTTAAAAACCAATGCGACATAATTTTTAAATGAACTTTATCACTAAACCAATTTCGAATACCAACAAAAAGATTGGCAATGGCGACAAGCACATTAGTGATAGTGTCGCGTTAAATATTACTAACTGAAAAAAAATCTCATTAATAACAAGCATGTTAATGATTAATAATATAACAGTTAAATGTTAATACCCGCAGAAGAAACGTTAATAACGCCGTCCTAAACGGTTGATGATCGAAACGATATTCAACATATCGATTAAACATATTGACCATCACCATTCAGAAGATTACAAATCATTCAACCTTAAATTGTTATTAAACTGTACCAATAGCATATAAAATAAACAACAACGCAAAACCCTACACCCATGCAATGCCAAAACCTACACCCACGCAAGGCCGGGAAAACCCTTACATACGAAATAAAATATGGACAGAAAAATCACCTTGAACGCCGCCACCGAGAGATCAGGGATCGACGACGAAATGGACATGAACGAGAACAACGCTAGTGACGCCGGATGGGAAGGCCTTCACGATAGTGACGCCGGACATGTAGGACTTCACCGCTAGTGACGCCGGATGGGGAGTAAAACTACCTTCTCAAACTTATGCCGGAGAATGTGAGCGATCGACTTGTCCGATGGCGGAAACAGAAGCTAGGGTTCAGCTTTGGTGGAAACAGAAGCTAGTTTAGGTTTAAGGAGAATCGGAAAACCAAGCCGACGGCGGAGACTGCTGCGGAGAGCAGAAGGGACGTCGGAGAACGCAACCGAAGGAAAGGCCAGAGAACACAGATTGACGAAAACGTTGATAGAGACGGTTTGGCTGGGAGGGAGAAAAAAGATGGGACGTGCGTTTAGGGTTAGCTATTTGCGTTTTTAAATTATTTATAATTCCCCAAATACCCTTAACAACTAATTAATTAATAACTCCTCCTTAACTACCAAAATTTGCAGCAACCAATCACAGCGCTTTAAGATCCTCCTTAAAAAAGAGAGTTTAAGGACCTGAACTCAAACCCCCAAATTTTTAAGATTAAGGGAAATAGTGAATTTACTCCTCACTTGCTCCCCTACTACTATTACGAACTAATCAAATGGAGTAAATTCATTGGAAATGGCATTTACCCCAAATTTTGCACCCCCTCTATTTGCATCTCTAGCCAAACGTAGTGTGAGTGAAGACTTCTTTTTGGCGGATGCAACCTTCTGATCTTGTGCTTCGTTATCAACGGGCACGAGCACGAGAGAGAAGACCATGAATAGAACCCGCCGTGCCCCGCTTCTTTCCCTGTGCATTATTCACACAGCAGAAGTTACTTCATACTTCTTTTCTTCACCACCACGAAGTGATTACAAATTTACAATGAAAGCTTTAGGAGCAAATTCCGACATTAAGACTAGTGAAGACTTTGACTCACTCTTTCATTGTTAAACAAGTCCTCTGCAACCGCTTCCATTTGCTTTCGCTTTTTCTCTTCTTTCAACGCCGCTTGGACCTCTGTACTATCATAGCTGGACTCTCTATCAACATAAACAGCAGGCACATAAATAACAAGCATTATAAAGGTGATATAAAAAAAGGCAACTCATTTTGTGACACATGAGAAAGGAGTCTTTTTACTTGTAAGGATCTCTTGAGAATGGAATCAGATTGCTAAAGCTATTCCCTGACTGGATACACTTCTGTAAGAAATGAATACATGTCAGCATTCATTATTCCCATAAATTCATCAATCAAGAACTTTCAAATTCCAGGAAGAAAAATAGATGGAAGCCGACTAACAGCTGAAGGAAATTGCTAGCTGCATAATCTCAGTTTCAGAGTCCATAGCCAGTACCAGGGTTCCTCCTTTGCAAGTGGAAACCAAAAAGTCCCTTCGAGACTGAGATGGCAGGAATGCAGGAATGCAGGAATGCAAAGAGCTCATAGAAACTGAGAGGCTTGAGGCCATAGCTATACTGAAATAAATAAAAAGTTCCACTACCTTTCTGAAGCATTTGAAGTTTGGAACTTCACTTCCTTTAGCTGAACTGGCTTCAGCAGCTGATAAATTCGAACCTCTAACTATCAATACTTGGCTGTAAATGATATCTGCATTTCCATCGTCACAATCAACCTTTTCTATTTTTGTTGTCATGCTTGCATCGTCATGACGTGCAGAGCGCACAGTATATGTCTCCTCCAATCTTTTGGCAGTACAATTAAACAGAGCTAATGCCTCTTTGTTCTCTGATTCTGAAGCAACTTTGCTGCTGAGAATATTGGCGTCAGGAGGAACTGATGTTGCCATTTCAGCTTCTACTTCTGTATCAGAATCTGCTACTATTGTCTCATCCGTGGTGGATGACAATGATACATGCACTGCAATGAAATGAATGGTTCGAGAACACATATGAAAAGCTGCAACTTGTAAAGCATTGCAAAATAAATTAACAGACTTCTCGGATAAATGTTCTACTGTGTAAATGTTAACATGAGCATAAGAACACAGCCAAAACTTGTTCCCCCTATCTTGAAGCTGTTCTCTGAGCCCCGCTTCAGGAGTCACAGTTCTGTCAACTAGCAAGATAATGTAAGGTAGCCAGGATTCCCCGCAGATGGAAATAGTTGTTCAGCACAAACTAATATCAGTCTTGCATGACATTTTTCAAGTAGTCACGTCAATTACAGTATTACAAAGGGGGTAGACATTGAAATTTCAGAATGTAAATATCTAATAGGCAAGACAAGGGTATATAGTCATACGGCACTGATTGCTGAGGTAAAAGAACGCGGTGCCTGATCTTGACACTAGGTACCGTACACGAGGACCACATTTTGGTTCAATGCATGGAAGATAACATATTGAGATGTCCTTAGCTGGTGCACTTTAGCAACACCCACTGGTTTAGAACAAGCGAATACCATTCACAAGAGAAATGAGTATACTGACCAGTTGGTTGTGTTAACACCGACAGATCTAGATGTCCAGACAGAATAGCACACAACAGATCCATCTCGTCCACTCTAGAATATGAACTAAGCTCAGTGATGTCATCAAACTTGTGGGCTGATGCTTTAGTGGTAACACATACAGCCCTACTTCTACCTCCACAATCCACAGCCTACAAAAAATAATCAATGTGTTTTAGTTATTCAGCAACGAAGGCCACAATATATAAGAACCAAGAAATATCCAAGCAAATGGTCAGATGTCAGTTTAGCTAACTGGTTTCAGCATGCTTAAGAACCTACTTGGTTTCTTAAAATTGGCATCCTTTTCTACACCAAACACTTCTATTTATTCAGTTCAAATATACAACCATTTTTTATTCCACTAAAATTTACATAAAGCAACCAATCGTGCTAGGAAGTTTATAATGACATCAAGTCTGAGTTCTGACATCTTAGTAAATAAGTGGCATGCAAAAGCTGAAAAGTCTCACATTTTGCAACCAAGTCTTGGCAGACTGATGAATTTTCATAACCAACAAACTTAATAGTAAAAAGAGTTCGTAGTTTAACTGTCATTGAGTGCTTTGTTAACAGGAATTCCTAAGAAACGCAAGACTATGATGCAGTTCATCACTTGAACACAGGTCCCACGATAAGCTCCAAAGCAAACATTATTTTTTAGTCATCAAACCCCAATTTCAAGATAAGGATGTGTGCATTACTCTATTTCTTTGACTAAATGGGCGGCTTAGCTTTGATCCCATGCGAGATCAATGAAACACATATTTCTAGACAGACAATATCAAAAAGATTCTTGTGCTGATTCTTATGTATGGAAGCCTTGTGACCAACAAACACTAAAAAAGTAGTCAGAGCAGACGAGAGACGGGAGATCTTGGTCCAATTAATGATATTATCAAAGGGTGCTACATCCTTATCATGCCTAAGTAAACATGAGACCACGATGACATATCCATCATCACGTCCGGATATTCAATCAAAGCAATCAAAATCCAGTCTACAAAACAAATACTTCAAAAGAAGCATTTAGATTCAGAAATGCTTTAGGCATATCATGATAGTAAGGATGGGGAAAACTAACTTGGCTATTTGAACAAAATTCTTCGACTGAAGCTGTCTTTGCACCAGCTACTTCCAATAGAGCAGGTAGTCTATCCTCGAACAGATACTGCAGAAGGATTAAGAGTTAACATATATAAAGAGAACAAATAGAGGTTGGAAAGAGTGATGATTGATGAACCATCCCAAAGTTTTGGAAAGCTCATTGCATAGTCTCACCATCTGTCTCGGATCCAGTATAAAACTGTATCCTACCAAGCATTTTGAACGAGTGATTGAGTCTACTAGTTGGACTGAGACTCCTTCCACAGCCACTGTCGGAACATTACTGCCAGCAAAATTCAATTAAACAGGGTCAAGAAGAAAACTTAGAAGCATGTACTGATAGCTAAAACCAACAAGAAAAGATTATACTTACGAGCTCCAACTAGGAATCTCTGATCCAATACATTTTTCTCCAAGCAACTAAACATACATCAAAAGATTAATTAAATTCTGAGGTACAGGTATAAATAATATGGTAGGCACTCCACACCCACAAACATTCTTCTGTACAATATGCATACTAAAAATGTGGAAAAAACCAGTTACATGAAACAAGCATATAAGCAAAACTGCAAATGTGTTTGGAAATCCTTGAACATTTGTAGGCATTTCAGGATATATCAAGAGGGTAAAATTTTGCTGATACCCTTCCCGCTAATGATGACCCTTATTCTGTGTCCGTGGGTTAGAAACTTTCATAAGAAATGAGGAAAAATGATGAGAGACTTTCTATTACCACTCTGATAGTTCATCATACATTGGACATAACTAACTGAGATCACCTCCTTCTAGAATTTTCTAGAAAATAAAATTTCTCCTGGGGCATTTAGCAGGTTTTAAAGCCATTAACTTGTTACGATAATAAGCAAGTGTGCCTTATACAACATGGGTAAAGAGAATGAAGAACTCTTATATGCAAGACAACACCTGTGGTTTGATAGATCACAGACATTATTCATCTAGTAGGGTGATTTTCATTGGCAACAACTGCAGAAGATGCTATGATTTCCATTCTGATACCACTAGTGAATTAGGTAATTCGAAGTAGTTTCCTTGCTTTCTTCACAGGCTATTGCTTAACTATTAATGTCACTGCTTAATGCTATCAGGTTCAGAGCAGTATCAAACGTGGAAGAAGCATTGCATATGCATTACCTCCAGCCAGCTCATGAGCGTAATTGGTTTTTTTGCCACAATAGCATCAATCAGAGGTTCACTAACTGGCGCGAGCTGATCAGTTAATACATGTGTGCACTCATCGCTTAACTCAATAGTGGTACAGGCACCTATAGTATGAGTGCATAAATTCATTAGTAATTTTGTCATATAGCTTCCACGGTTGTCAGAAACCAAGTAAAAAGAAACAGATAACTAGCCAACGAAAACATGATGAGTCTTGGCCATAGTAATAGATGCAACTTCATAGATCGACAGTCAAACAATTGCTGCTGTCCAGCTTAACACTGCACCGAAACCAATAAATTATCTTGGCAAATGGCATCAGAATAAGCATCGTTTTTACTTTCATATTATTCCATTTATTTCCTTATGACGTATCCTAACTGCTAAATCAGATGTCACTTCTTTCACTTTATGGTTTTTGCAAGTACTACATGCTGGAGTCTTTAACTGCATCAAACAGTTATCTTTCCATGGATAGAGTCTCTGACCCAATGATAGCAGATCTAAGAGGATCCAATACCCAAACTTCACAATTGAAATCTACTTCCAACAACTAGCATGAGAACAGCCTTAATCCACTATTTGCCCACATTACTGACAAATGAAATTTTAGGCGATTGAACGAACATGTTTATACTACGACAACTATGTACACTTTAACATCTCCCTGTTTTCCATGTTACAAAAGGGGAGGCTAAGGTCAAAAGAGCAAAAGCAACAGTTTCCATATGAAAGACAAATTACTACAAAGTTTCTCCCGAAAGCAGGGTTTTACGAAACAGATAGTTATTTTATTTCTAAACCCCACTCTATAGACCACTGATAACAATCGCTTTTGAATCCATTTAGTAACCAAGCAGTGCACACAAGGGTAGAACTTCGAAAAAGGAAAACAGTTAAAACTTTATTTCATGGCCTGGAAGAAATAAAATTATGACCTTCAATCTGAAAGGGCAGAGGCACTAACCAATTGATGACACTTTGCCTCGAACAGCAAGGGGCTCAGAACAGAACATATTATAAACGACGAAGGGGACAAAAGAAAACCTGCAAGATTTCATTGAAAAAGAAAAATTATTTACCAGGCATCAACAAGGCAGAGGTGTAGTGACACCATGGAAAACACACAGACACCCAGAGAAAAGGTAAAAATAGTCTGGACTAGCTAAGGATTCCGAAATACCTATACGCTGCATTACCAGTTCCAAAGCAAACCACGTCCCCGTCTTTTAAAGTGGTTTCTTTGCTGGGTAGCTCATGAACCTTTTCATTAGACGCATGGTTCTTGTTGATGAATGTACCATACTTTGAACTGTCTTTAATCCTAACACGAGATAATATGTTGGATCCTCCGGGAAGTCTACTCATTGAAATCATTTCATCAACAATGATTTCTGCATGGACCCTTGAAACTCCTTTGTCTTTGCTGATTACTATATCACAACCTAGCAAAAGAAACGGGTCATTGTATGACTGACAATCATGACAGTTGCGGGAAGTGATATTTTAAAGGATAAACATCAGAATGCCAGAATGTAGCTACTTTCATCTTCGAAATTGAGTACTGGTGAGACAAATTAAGCGAAATGCGAAATTCAAGACTTAGCATTCAAATCCAGATGAAGACAGAAGTTTAAACCCATCTTAACTTTCTTCATTCATTCACTACCCAACCACTTTCACAACCACCTTAAACATTCGAGGTGAAAGTCTACCTATCGATCTTAAGCATCTTAACCTTCCAATCTGGTCAGCACCTTTCATCACAGTGTGTGCATTCACTCTTTACAATAACAGGCTACCTAACTCCCAAGAAATACGATCTAGGGCAACAAAAATCAAATAACTGAAATGAGAAGAGAAACCAAGCCATGATAAAACGATTAAATTAAACTTCAGAAGAAGAAGAAAAACAATCTGAGACGATGAAATGGCACCTTTGCGGCCAACTTTGTAGGTTCCCTTTCTATAGATGTAGTATTTTTCTTCACCTGTAGCAGAAAGTCTCAATATCAGAAGCAAGAAGATACCATACATCAATTTGTCACCCGATTAAAAAAGTGACCTCCAAACCCCATAATGGACACAGCCTGCTTGTCAAGGGTCTCAGGTTAAGAAACGGGCTGGCTCAATTTGGGTTCATCAGAAGACTTGCGAGTTGGAACTGGAACAGAATAGTTAATACATTTCGATTTGTTTAGGTCCCCTAAACTACAGACCTAGGCCAGGGTCAAGTTTGGATTCTCAGAAACGTGAAGAGTTCTCAGTAGCTTGAAAAGAGAAAAATGAAAAGGAGGGGCGATTACCGGAGTGAGGATCAACCGGGAGCAGACTCCAGACCATTGTCACTTCAGAAACAGAGACCGGCGGCCGCCACTGGTTAGCTTGTGTTAAGCGTGAGTGAGAAGGAGACTGTCAGTTCGGTGATTGTAACAGAAACTCCGGAAAGCTTTACTAGGGTCGAGAGGGGGTTCGTGGCGCGCCAATTCACGGCGATGGGTCTTTCTGACTTTCACTTGGTTTATGAACACTTTTTCTGTGTTTGTTAAATTTTTTTTTTATAAAAGTCTGTATTTGTTAATTGGATGGCAAAACTTCCCCTAGTTTTGCATGCAGGATGGCAATGTGTCGGTTGGGTTCGGGGACGGAAAATGCATATCTATTACCCTACTTAAAGCAGTTCTTTCACCCATACCCATATTCATACTCACATAAGAAACGGGTAGAACATACAAACTGTGCCCATACCCGTTCGGGTTTCGGGTATCCATGGTTATCCATGTGTAATAGTTTATCTTTATAACTCCAACCAATATGTTAACATTCACACGTATTCTCACATTACGTAAGACGAAAAATATGACAATAATTCACTAGAATGAAGAAAATTAATTAAAATAACATAATTTCTTAAAAATGTTATATTTATATGCTAAATATAAAATATGTTAGAGAGAAATATTAATTATTTCTAGAAAAATACATATGCATATGTATAATCGGGCGCGTTCGGGTTGGATAGTGAGAAAACCATGCCCACCCATTACCCGCAATATTCGGGTTCGGGTTTTACCCGTACACACTAAAAGTTCTTCGGATTCGAATTTTACCCTACCCGATTAGGTCGGATTCGGGTGGATATCCACGATTACGCATATTTTTGCCACCCGCCCTAAGCCCCTAACATAAAAACACAATATTACTAAGTTGTTCTTTATTTAATCTTCTTTATGATTTATTTAATCAATTTAAATTCAACAAATAATCGTTGAATTGCTAATCCTCCAACCGCGACCTCTTCAAAATCCCTTCTCCAACTGCACTTGGTCGTCGTTCCTACTCCCCGACCGTCTCTCTCTAAAATATATGGGCGAATAATTAGTTGGAGATGAAGGCCCTGGGAGAAGTTTGAATTCAACCCATCTCTCATCCAAGAAAGAGATGGATGCATGGTTGTGTGTTGCCTTTCCATTGAGTGTTTGTCGTCCGAAACGAAATCAATGAATAGATCTCTTCTAGGTTTCCTAATGGACTCGATTATGATGCATATAATAGTTGTGGTGTTCATAGCTCGGATAGTTCTGGTATTAATTGGGTGGATGAAGGATGATTAATCGGGTGAAAATGCAAAGGGGGTTGAGTTTAATTTACCGTGAGGAACAGGAGGGCTGGATGAGAGTACGGATTACTCGGTACCTGAATCGTTCTAACTATAACAACCCAATTTCCGGCCAAGTATAACCGGCGACCGGGTGTAGCATAGGGCAAGCAAGCAATAATAATTTATCGTGCCACGGGGATCTAGGCTTACCCTACTTTAGTTTTAGGGTTCGTTATCTAGCCAACCTAGGATAGTGATTAATAAAACTAAACTAACTAACCTAGACTAACCACTAACCTAGCTATTTACAAGGTTGGAGCTCTCTTGGGTTGAATCCTCCTAGGTTCGTTCTTTGGATCAATGTTGGGTATCCTTCTAGCTCAATCGACTCAAATACACTACCGTTTGGAGATGGACTCCCTCGGGAATGACCCGAAATAGTTAATCGAGGAATGGGTAGTGCTCTGTTCAACCTAGGGTTTCGTATAATGCTAGAAGACTGGTCGAATAAAATCCCTCGGGGACTACCCGGACAATATACGATAGGAGTGACCTGAAGTCGCCAAAAGGGGGCACAAAGGGGATTATCTCTCTTCTAGCTCAAAAGCTCAAGGCATGAAAATGGAAACCCAACACATGCCATTCATGTAAACATCCATCAATTAAGTAGAATCATCAATTAAACAAGGAATTTGTCACATACATCAACAACAAACCAAAATCAAGACCTAGGGTTCTTAAACACAAGAGAAGAGGGTGAGTTTCTAGAGAGAGAAGAGAGGGATTACAAATTTTAGCTCAAGATCTTCTTCTTCTTCTAGGCTTGAACCCTTATCTTCAAGATCGATCCAAACCTCCTATCAAGCTCCAAGATCACTCTAGCACTCTCTCTCTCTCTCACTAAAACTCCCCTTTGGTGTTTTGGGCAAACCCTAGAGAGGGAATTGAATTTCTCTCCAAAAACTAGCTCCCCCTTTCTCTCTCCCCGCTGTTGTCTTCATATTTGCCCTAAAGTGACCAGTTCCCGGCCGCGTTGGCCAGTTCACGGCCGTGAACACCTAAACGCGTTAGTGAACTCAGCGTCGTCTCCAAAACGCACCGCTTCACTCTCCTGTGTTCACGGTTTGTGCTCCAAGTTCACGGTCTTAGAGACCGTGAACTCGTCTCGCGATAGTAACTGCAGATTTCTCCCTGGCACTTTTCGACCTCCAATCGTCCCAAAACTCGTCCTCGACCCTTCCGCGCGTGCTATGACCTGAAATGTACCAAAACAAGCACAGCCTAACGTGAAATATGTTGAGGTACGATGAAATGCAAAGCCAAACAATCAAGATATGAGGGGGGAAATGTGTACAATTGGACCCGAATCAGTACCATGCTCGATTCCGGCTATCGGAAACCGGATTTGCAGTTGAACTTCTGATTTGTTCCGGATGGGTTTATTTGTTAAGTTTGGGAGATAAAAAAAGGGTAAATTTGTCAATTTAATTTTTAAGTTAGGCGATTATATAAAACTAGGGCGACAATTAGCAATTCCCATTGTTAAACCCTACTATACAGGTGGTTAGAGAAAATAACTTTACATTCAAGTTTAAATCGATAGGCGGTTTTTAGCAGAGTAAAAGGATTGAATCACAATTAAATAATTTTGGCACAAAATAATATACCATTAGCTCTTTCGATACCTTTTTAGTAGTAGCTTTCAACTTTTGATTTGTATTGCAGTAGCTAGATCCATACTTTTCTGTTGAAATCATCAACAATAATGAGAAAATAGTGTGCCGCGACTTAGGGTTAGGGAAGCATACTTGCACCCCCAGATATCGATTGCAGAACTTCAATATAATATAATAGTCAAACATTTCATTTAGAAAAAATAATAGTCAAATGCTTCCTCATCTTCAAAAATGGAATCCAAGAGCATTCCTTCCTCCGAGCGCCTCAATATCCACGGCCACCCAGAGCTGCAAGGAAATCCTTACCGGCGACGACGTCTTGGGCCTGACTCGAGCGTGCACTGCGACCAGGCAAGACCATCTTTCACCCTGTGAAACGAATCTCTACAATTAACATATCAGCCTAATGATGTCAGTTTCTCCAACTCTTCTGTACTCACGTCAAAGGAAGTAAGTCAAGAGTATCCCAGCCGACCATCAGTTGCATGACGAAAATTGATTCCAAGATCCCTAAACACTAAATGAAGAATCGAGATCTATTCCTCACTAAACACTAATTGGTTCCCACAATTGCTCTTTCTTGTGGGATTGGTTGGTCGAGTCTCTTCCTTCCCCTTTTCCTTGGGTTGGGTTTTCTTTTGGGATCGGCGAGCTGTTGCCTATTAGATTTTGATGTCACAGAGATTGTCGACTATAGGGAGTGGGAGGGTGCTTGGTAGAGTAGGGAGTAGAGCAAGGGGAGGGATGTGATGAGGCTCGTCGATGAGCTCTTGAAGGAGAGCTATGGTGGGTGATGACTTATGAGTTGGGTGTCGCCGGAGAGAAGTTCAGAAAGAAAGCGAGTGGGGTCGAATGGACATATTGGAATAGACTATAGAGAGATAAGCTGCCTTTTTATTTTTCTATTTATAATATAAAAATCAATTATAAAAAGAATAGTAATATCCACATGGCAAAGTCAAACGTTTGAGTTTTTGCCACATAAGAAAAATTCATTCAGCTCACTTAATACTCTTCCACGTCAGAGTCAACTAGCGGTCAAACGGATGGAAAATTAACGATTTGAATATTATTTTGTTAATTGAAAGGTTTGGCTATTATTTCTTTTGGTTATTATATTGTATTTACCTAATTTTTTATTATTGAGTTATTAGAGAAAGGAACTCGTGAGTATTTAGTTCGTAAACAAGCGTTCTAGTGTGTGGTTTCACACTTAGTTTTTTTAAGTGTTGAAAAAATGCATTTTCTTCTCAGACGGGAGCCCTAACCTGGAATGCTAAAGTTCTTACGCATTTATGTTGATGCCTTATACTATAGTGCCTCCTTATTATTCATGTCAAAGAGGCCTAAGTAGTGTATGTCATCTCTTAACTTACCCATCCCAATCCGCATTCTTGAAAGTAAGTCCTGAAGTATACAAAAATCATGCAAAAAGATCAAGGCGACGTTGTGACCTTGAGAAAGTTTACTCACTAATAATAGGTTGCACTTGAAGTTTGGTACGCCCATTGCATCCTGAGTCTATAGTCCATTCTTGATGTAAGAATTTCTTGCAAGTTATGTTGAGTCCAAGTGTTTTAGACTTAGGAGAGCCCTTTGAAAAGCTGCCACAACCAAGAAATTGCATGAGTTAATGGTATTTTTCCATTGATAGTCTAGGAACATGGTTGTGTTATACTTATGAAACATGACCTTGGGGCTACTCTTGAGCTCTCCTTTTATACACTGGTCGCTCCCACTTCACGGCCGTGGACATCTGGTCAGGACCGTGAAGACAGTCCAAAACGCACTTGCTTCTCAAGACCACTTGTGTTATGGTTGGAAACACATATCGGAATCTGTGTGATGGAGTTAGATTCCTCCCAAAACCTCCTTAGCTTCATATAATAAGCTAAGACATTGAGTTTCTCTTGTGTGGGAGTGAGGTGGCTCACCTCAACTTGTAGGCACGAGGTTAACTACCTTTTTCGAATTGCTCTAGTAGACCAACCCATATCTCACAGGTTGATTTAGTGTATGGAAGCTGGTTCTCACCTCCTTGTCTATGGTGGTCTTGAGCAACCCTTTCACCATGGCGTCATAGTGAATCCAGGCTCTGAAGTATTCATCTCCCTTCATTGGTTTTTTTATAGTGACATCGACAAAGCCCATCTTGTGCTTTGCTAGAAGAAAGTTGGTAATTTTGCTTATCAAATCTTTGTAATTTTGATAAGTGAGTAGATCACTTACGAAATACTTACTAGAATTGTTTGTGTTA